CGCGCTCGCTGGCAACGTACGCAACTACTATTTTCTATCGTTTTCCAGAGACTAGCGGCGAGTATGTTGCTGCCGGACCACCTTCACGTAGGCAATTTGTTATACATCGTCCGTCCGCAATACTCTCGCTTGGCCGTATGAAAACGTTCCTCGCATGCGCAGTGTTAAAGAAGCGCCCTCCAACGCTTTGGCGTTGGAACTGCTTGTTTTCACTTCTGCAATACGCACAGCCATCAAGGTGGTATGATTGCGTTCAGCAGGCGCCACCGTGAATGTCTTGTCTTTTGAGTGCGGAAAGAGACGAAACGAGATTTGACGTTAGCAAACTGTCATTTGTATTAAAAACACACCTAATTTAAAGTGAAGATTTCACTGTTGGTAATTTTATGCGTGTCCTAGTTTTTCACCTAACATTTGCTTACAATTCTTGATGGATCAGCCCCGAAGATCAAACGTTTGTACATTGAGCACTTAGAGGTTCAGAAATTTGACTAAGTTTTAAAATTACAAACTATTGATCGGATGAAGATTAATACGGCATTGGATACTTTAAGTTATTAAGTGATAGATGCATCGGAAGTGCATGATACAATTAATTAATCGCACTAAGTTTACGTTGAGAAAATTTTAACTTTTTGTGTCTCTATTATTTGAACTTGCAATTTAAATTGGTAAGTGGTAATCACTGACGAGAAAGTTATGAATATCTTTGAGATATTGAGAAGGGAGCATTTAAAATGGAAACATTATGATAACTTATGCTACAAATGAACTTTAACTAATATCGGAGGAGAAAATGAGTTCAAGGGTTCAATTATTGATCTACGAAGTGTAGTGCGACTTTGACTCCCAGAAAGGAAAAAGAAACAAAAAAAACCCGACTACTCCTTTAAAAGCCCTTTAAAACTCCACGTGAGACAGAAATTAAATACATTTGTGACGCGGGTATAATTTTAAAAATGCCTCTTTTCGGTTTATAAATTTCTTTGGTAATTTTTTTTAAATTCTATATTAAAAATTAATGAATTGGATTCTTGGAACGACCTTACTATGAATTTCCAATGTGACGATTAGCATACTTACAATTAGTAGTTGCCAACGTGAAAGGTGAGAAGAAGCGAAACCAACCTTTAATTAAATTGGATACCGAGAAATCGTGAATTAATTTAATGGCCTCGTTGGAATTGGTGCGACCGAGTTTACATCAAAACTCATTTCGAATGTAAATGAATATGCATTTAAGCAAACCTCTCCAATTATCGCGTTAATTGATCGGTAGTTCAACTCTCCTCGATTGCAACAGTTGTTATGCCAAGATACGCTCTAATATTACCAGCCAATCAAATCGATGGCACAGTATACTGGACTTAGGTCTCTTTGCACGTTTTGCCAAATACTATCGAAAATGAAACCTAACTCGAGGATACCAGTACATTACGATTCTGTTCTGACGTGATAGCGAAAAGGGCAGTAAGTGCATGACGTGAACTTCGAGACACATAAAAGCATGTGCCAACTATGGTTCGTGCAGAAATGCACTTAATGCTCTCTTTGCTATCACGGGAGTATTGTACTCTATGGTCCGTACTCTCCCGATGTAGGTGCTCTGGTACGAACTCTATCACACAAAAAAAAAGTGTCATGGGTTATCCCCTAAAATTGTGGCACTACTTCAATTTGTTGGATGATATGGACATTTCTAATTAATTGTGGTAGTGCCGCAACATTTGGGTTAGTTACTTAATTTGTTGGGGTGCTACCATAATTAATTGGGGTAATACCACAATTGAATCAGTGAGTTCGAAAACACGTCAACTCGGGAAAAATTTTTTTCAGGAAACACCTAAAACTGCGCAGCGGGCGAAGAAGTTACTTTTAAAAAAAACCTCTTTGGCTCCAAAGGACAGAAGTTACTTTTAAAAAAAACCTTTTTGGCTCCAAAGGACAAAGTACATACAGACTTTGTAAAGCACCAAGTTAAAATCGATACACCATGTTTGATGACAGAGAATTATGCGTTTAAAAATTTCCGAGTTGGTGTTTTCGTTTCTCACCGACTTTCAGATACTGATTTTTCATAGTCTGCCTTGAAAAATTTATATTTTTCGACCTAAATAACGCTTGAATATTTATATAACTTGTTGGTACAAGGTATACTGAACCGAAAAAAGAAAACAGCAAAATTGGATGGTCACCCGTTTCCCTTGAAATGGCCAAAAATTGGAATTTCCAATGAAATACTTCGATTTTTCCCTTTTCCCGTCGCTGTTTCGAGCACTTCCGATTGCAATTTCAAAATTTTCCCTTGCGTGCAGATGCTTCTATCTGTAAGTGTTACTAGACCGTAAAAAAGTGAAAATCGAAAAGAGCCCGAGTTGGTGTGTTTTCGAACTCACTGATTCAACTCTCACTACGAGTCACTAATTCACCTTGATACTTCGTCAAACGGCCAATGCCCTATGCACGAGATTCCCGAAAACTTGACGGCAGTGCACCGGAGTGCAATATTTATCTTGATTTATTCCGGGGACATTCGCGCGCGGCGGCGGCGGTTCCTCACTTCCGCGAGAAAACACGGGCGGAGAACCGTATGTGTTTTGGAATGAGGCCCGATCTCCCGTACTGAGGAAGAACGCCGTATGAACATTCGAGAGTTGCCAAATTTCCTTCGATGAAATATTTATTTTTGAGGAAAGTTATGAATATATTTCCTGGAAATTTTCAGAAGCTATGGGTGAAATTGCGAACAAAATTATCTAAAAAATTGGAAGGAAAATATTCATAAGTTTGCCAGGAAATTTGTGCTTCATTGTAAGAAATTTGGCAACGCCTAAAGGTCCATACGGCGTTTTTCCTTGGCACGGCAGCGATGCTATAATGTTCTCGACCGCGAAACGGCGAAATTATGCGGTGTCGCGGCCGTCTCTCTGCAACGATGTATCCGCGGACAGATGAAAGATAAGCCAGGCTGTTTTTTAACGATGGACCGATGGGCAAAACTAGATCATAGGCTTAATTGTAGCATGCACATCGCACCCTATACCCTAAATATACACGATGATTTACTTTTTTTAATCAAAGCTGAAAAATTGAAGCGCTCAGTGCAAAAAGGACATGTCTCGATTGTGGTTTTTCAGGATCTCCGTTAACTTTTCATTCATTATAATTAAAGCGAATGCATGGAATTCGTTAAAATTTAAATCTAATTTTCCTTGTGCTTTTACAAAGCTAAAAACTAAAAATTTCAGAAAATTCACCTTATAGTTTTCAATCTAAAATATCAATTAGCAGTGGAGATTCTTAAACACCGCAACCAAGAAATGCCCTTTTAGCACCCAACGCCTCCATTGCCTAAAGCAGGCTGCATCAGAACGGACTTTCACGATAGAGATTACATGAGTCAGGGCATTTCAATTTAATTTGTTTAATTTTGTTAATTTAATAACCTATGCACATGAGCAGAGCTATATGGACCACGTTAAGCAAAAAGGAGCCAAGCCGCATCAGCTACAGCCAAATTAAATTAGGCAATTTAGTTTTTTACATGTAAACGGTTATGTGGATTTTCGGGTGAATTTTGGTGAATTTTTTGCATAATTTGAAGCAAATTCCTTAGAATTTTCAAAGAAATTCACAGAAATGTTCTCTTGTAAAAAATTAAATTGCCCACTTAAATTTGGCAAAAGATGATGAGGCATAGTTTCTTCCCTGCTAAACGCGGTCCGTATGTACTTACTCACTCATGGCTCATGAGCTGTACGTACATCCTACGGTCCAGAAGCAGTTTCCGTGCTTGAACTAACTTAGCAGAATCCTATGCAGAAATGGCAACTTAGCAGGGTGATTTTAACGTATTGTAGGTACTCAAGAAGCGGTATAGGCTAAAAAAGCGTGCACAAATTCTGCACATAATGAGGGGGGAGAAGTTACTTTTAAAAATAAGCCAAACTTGGATGAACGATATTAGTGCCTACGAGACTGCGGGAATACTTCACGCATTGCGCCAAACAGCGCAGTCGGCGTGGACCGCATATTAGCGCCTACCAGGCTGCATGAATACTTCTCGCATTGCACCGAAGGCAGTGCAATAAGCTTAGTGTAATTATTCAGCAGAATTACAAAAAAAATTATGATATCCCAGTAAAAGCTCATGAAAATTTCATTAATTTAATCTAATTTAGTCCGCAGAAATAGTTTGAAACTAAAATGTTTTTAATTTCTACTGAAATGATGAAAAATCCGAGGTAGTGAAAAAATTACTCACTCAGATAGCACACTTGATGAGCTAACCGCGTCAGAGTTTCCTGTAACAAAGTAGAAGAGAGAAATTAATAACTGTCAACATTTATTTCACATTTCATGTAAATAAACATCAGCACATATTCCTACTTTACTAAACACGGAGGACTCTACATTGATTCTAGCCTTTAAATAAACGAATATATTTATGTCCATAATATTGCAATTGCTCCCGTCCCACTTTCTTCGCGGTGGACACGTACAAAAAAACCATTGCATCATTTCGGATTTATGCGAGTACACGGGCAGGCAGACTCTTCAATTGGACAGTGTTTATCAGAAAGGAACTGACCCACATTAAGTCGAACTCGAGAAAAAGAGGTTTGAAGTTTTATTCCTCCATAATGATACTCAATGTAGAAAATAAACTGTAACCTCTCTTTTCATAAACTAATTTTCTGTTTCGACTCAGAGTTTTTGGCGCGAGGAAATATACAAATACAGGAACTCTAAAACATTCTTAACTCAATTTTTTCGAAAATGTGGGTTGGTTCCTTTCTGATAAACTCGGTCCAATTAAACCTACACATGCGCCCAACGATTGAAATGTTGTCTGCCGTGCTGAAGAGGATCGCCGTATGAACCTTTAGGCGTTGCCAAATTCCCTCTGGCAAATTGCTAATTCTCAGGAAAATTTTTGAATACTTTCCTATGCCATTTTCTCAGATAATTTTGTTTGTAATTTAAAAAAGCAAAAATTGTAATTTTGTGATTTAAAAGTGTCAGCAATTTCAAAGCAAAATATTTACAGTTTTCTTTCAAACTAAACATTTTATCGTAGGAAATGGCAACTCTCGATTGTTCATACGGCGTTCTTCCATAGCATGGCAGTTATGTTGATCGAAATGAACACCACCAAACATCCAGAAAAAAGAAGAAAAATATGCTCACACTGGAAAAAAAACACATAGGATCTAGAGTCCATACTCTTAAAAACATGGACAAGAAAAAGTACTCTTGATTCAATCAGAATCTAGCTTAAATCAAGAACCAAGCCTCTTAATTCAAGCGGATTTCGTTTTGATTCAAGCAAAAATCTGATTAAATCAAGAGTATTTCTTCTTGTCAATGTTTTTAAGAGTCTGGACTCTAGATCCAATGTGTTTTTTTCCAGTGCAACTTAGCATCGTGGCTACGCTCGAGTTCATCCGCAAACCACCGACGTCCGAAATAAACCATCATGCAGTTGACACTACTCAGAACTCAGCGGCCAAGCGCACCGCCCCTTCCTCTTTCCCGCAGTCCAGAAGTTCCGCTTCCAAACCGGGAAACGGTTTTACGACATTAACGAGGGAGGGAAGAGACAAAAACGGAGTTCCCGGGCGGTCCCGCCGCTAAATCACTGTCGTAAGTTATGCATTCGGTGATAAGGGTAGATATCGCGAAAACATAATTTAAGGCGGGCGTACCTCCAAGGCCGCCATTCATTCAACCCCCGAAAAACTTATCTACTGAAACGTGATCAAACTGTACCGAAGTTAAGACGGGCACGTGAACCGGCTAGCACGTCCCGGTAATTTACAAACATATTGTCGTGGACCGGGATCTAGAAACTCATTTAGCCTGTATCAAGAAGGCTCCAATGGGATGATAAATTGCCGGTAACTTTTACGATCCTTTTTGAAAACAGAGTCTGTAATTAGGGCCTTGATTTCGGTGATAAATTAGAAGAGAGGTTGAATTTGCGTAATGAGCGTTTATTGAGTGGATTAAGTTGAGCAGGAATGGACCGAGTAACACTTTAGAAAACTTAGTCATGATGAGTGATTTTCTGCGTTTCTGATATCTACCTTATATCCCTACTATCAAATCATTCGCGATGTTTTCCCCCCGAAATGTGGACTTCATGTTTAATTACTTCGAGCATCATTGGCTGAGAAAAACTTTAAAACTTATTGTCGTTCAATTACACAAGCAACTTCGTTTTTCATGCCAAACACTGCTCGATTGAAGTACACACTTAGGTCCTAGTCGTATTGGCTTTTAGAGTTCGATGCTTTCTTAACTTTTTTCCATGTTCTGCATTTATGTTAAATCCAGCTTTAGCAAAGTGAGAGAGTGATGTTCCGCTTGTTTTTTGTAAAACTTGGTGAGATTTAAAAGCTTTTTTTTTTCCACATAAAATTTGTTCTGTATCTACAGTGCTGCAATATTTTCTCATTTCATATCGGTTAGAAAGTTTTGATATCTCTACATTTAATCTCTGCTGAATATTTCCTATCTTCACGTCCACACATACTCACAACACCCATGTGCGCAATAACAATAAAATACGTGTGAAAATTCTAAAATTTAGAAATTTTCGACTCCTTAATAATTTTTTACTTAATTTTTCAGGTTAACGGTGGACATTATGACTCAATATTTTCTAGTGTGTGCAACGTACATTTTTAAAAATCACTAATTTTTTATCTCTTTAAGAATGATATTAATTTGCATTTTCCGCCCATTGCAGCAACCGAAATGGAAAGGACAGTTGGCAGTGTTGTCGCGTTGTCTTGTGATTATATTTTGATTGAAGCCGAAAATAAGCCTCTGCAACTTTTAATTGACTACTTTAGCATGTTGGAATCTAAACGTAATACTACATCTATACTGCCGTGCTAAGGAAGAACGCCGTATGAACATTCGAGAGTTGCCAAGTTTCCTTCGATAAAACGTTTATTTTTGAGGAAAATTATGAATATTTTTCCTTGAAATTTTCAGGAACTTCAGATCAAAATACGAACAAAATTCTCTGAGATTTTGGAGGAGAAATATTTCCAAATTTTCTTGAAAATCAGTGTTTTGTCCAAGGAAATTTGGCAACGCCTGAGGGTTCATACGGCATTTTTCCTTAGCACGGCAGTATAGTACCAGATTTGCTTAAAATTATGAGTAGATGCGGCCAGGCATCTTTGATTTGAACGCGAGGTCTCTTACTCGACCTCACAATTGAATCGTGCGGTATCACCGTCCGTTCAATGCAACAAAGCAAACCAAATACATGGAAGAATGGGTTTATTTATATGGGGGAAGTGGCGAAATTTGTTTGTCAAGGATAGGAAATGTCAAAGTTAAATGCCAAATCGAGGGACTCGTTCGTCCCTGAACGCTACAGAGAGGGACTCGCGTGTGCATCGGTCATAACTTTCATTGGCGAAAAATTGATCTGGATTCGATGACAGTGATGCCAACTCGTCAGAACGACTAAAAATGAGGGATTTAAATGGACCGCGTTAAACAGAAAGGAACCAAGCCACATCAGCTATTGCCGAATTTATCATGGGAATTTAATTTTTTACGAGAGTACTTTTTGTGCGGATTTCTTTGAAAATTTTAGGGAATTCGCTTTGTATTGTGGAGAAAATTCATAGAAATTTGCATAAAAATCCGCACAACCGCTTTCATGTAAAAAATTAAATTGCCCGATTAAATTTGGCAATAGTTGATGTGGCTTGGTTCCTTTTTGTTTAACGCGGTCCAAATGAGCTAGGGCTGATCTGTCACACAATGGAATAAGAAGTCGAACAAAATTCGGAAACTTTAAAAGATTTCAACTCCATTATTACAAAATAATAAGGTCTTAGAAATGGTCTCGTTGATTTTCGCGTAAAATTAACTTTGAAAAGCACCCCCCCTAGCCTTTAAATTTGATGAAATAAACATCTAAATAATTGCAGTTTCAGTTAAATAATTCATATCCGGCTTCCCCCATTGACTCAATCTACTGTGCGTTGTGTCCAAAATTTAAGCCTTCAAATAGACCGCGTTAAGCAGAAAGGAGCCGAGTCACATCAGCTATTGCCAAATTTAATTCGGCAATTCAATGTTGTACAAGATTTCGTGCAACTTCTTTTGAGAATTTTCAGGAATTTGGTTTGCACAATGCAAAAAATTCACTGAAATTTGCAAAAAAAGTCCAAACGACCGTTTTTATGTAAAAAATTGAATTGCTCAGTTAAATTTGTCAATAGCTGATGTGGGTTGGTTACTTTCCGCTGAATGCGGTCCAAATATAACTACCAAATTCGCTTTTGAATTGGCACTGGCAAAAACCATGCCATATCCATAAATGATTGAATTAATCATGGAAAATAATTTCATTCAGTAATAAAATATCAGCTAGGTTTTTCTTCCATTCTTAACGAAAATTTGGCGAAAGAAAAATTCGTCGTTTCCGCACGAAAGGACGTGGATCCAATGCAAGGAGGCTTGACCTAAACGATTTCATATCTCTCAGAAACATGAGTTAAAATTAGCAGAATTGTATGTGTAATTAGAGAAACATTGGTAAAAATTTTAATTTAGAAACATCGAATGGCTCTCTCGAGAAAATACAATTTTTGACGAAAAATTTTACAGGGTTGAAATGTACTTTCACTTTTATGTTTGAAAAAAAGACCAATTTTCGAGGCTTTGGCAAACAGTTTGGACGAAATAAGTGGATGGCATTCCGGAGAAAGAAGGAAGCACGCTGCAGTACTTTTAGAATTGGGGGAAAATAATCTTGCAAAAAATTCCAAAACTTTAACCGGTTTGTTCTACTAGGTACAAATAATATATCGGGTTGTTTATCTCAGTATTCTATCCTATCAAGGACGTTTTCAGTCTCGTATTTTAAAATACTTCTGGAAGAAAATGCTTTCAAAGGTTTTATTTTTATTCTGCTATTTGACAGTTCATTCACTCGGATCTCTGTTATTTCCCGCATACTGAGTGGTGCTTGAGGGAAAATGCGATATCTTAAGCGTGGACGAGGAAAAAAGAACTAAATGAGAAAAAACCTTTTAGACATAAAACTAGGGACATTTTGCTTGTTTTTATCCTGGATGTAATTAACTTCTCACCATCAAAGGAAAAAGAGGTGCAAGCCCACGCTTAAATAGGAGGAAGTTTGAAAATAGGATGATAGAAGAAATCTGGCCATGCCGACACTGAAATGGAAGAACGATAGAAAATATAGTGACGGGGGAGTTCTCATCGAAATTATCGAGTCTTCTTTGGTTGTAAAACAGCAAGTCCG